TATATATATATATATATATATATATATATATATATATATATATATAAAACTGCAATTGGTGACACCTGCCTCCGATTTTGCCAAACGGTGTCAATGTGTGCTCACGTTATCTTAATCCACCTAGAAATTTTGCAGTTGGAGTCACCCCACCCCCTCGCCCTAGTAATAGCTTTTAAGTGTTCACGGTTAATACTAACGATATGTATCTATATCGGTTATTAATACAGCTGGATGTAACATTGTTTTCTCTACATTTAACATGCTTAGGTCACGTTGTCACCCCCCCCCCCCCCACTCCACACCACGACGGGATCAACAATTTTTAGTTCAACTACTTTTTTCCTGTGATTAACCATTCATTGAGCTGGCAAAAAGGATATTTATTCTATTTGTTTTGCTATTTTGATGTCATGTTCCCTCCCCCGTCAATGGTGATACACCCGTGTGGTCGGCACCCCTCATATGTTACTACACACGGTGTATGTGCGTCATTGTCATGTCATAAATATTCATTTAACATAATTTTTGTGTGCCTTGATGCCAATACCTAGTCATGATGTCAGTATTATGCCTGATGCACGTTGAGGGATGGGGGAGGTAAAGAATACAATCTTATAAGTTAAAGAAATAATACACCTAATTGCAATAAAAAAAAACTATTACGTTTATAATCCAAGGGATATAACAAACCAAGGGAGACAATCTAAAAATAAATTCTTGAAAGTGAATAAAGGATAATTGAAATTATAAAACTCTATTGTTAGATTAGATTGTAAGAAATACGATACAATTATATATAAGGTTGTGTTTTTAATTTTTATTTTGTAATTTAAAAAAAGAAAATAATTATATATCAAATTAATAATAAAACCCATAAGCTTTACGTAATAAGTTTTTGATTAATCATTATTTGCTTCATGAAATCCGTCTCCTATTAGAAGTGTTGAAAAATTAGTACAAATATAAATTTTGGATCCCTAAAATGGGACAAACAAATAACCAATAATGATAGTTACGCTGTCGGTCTATAGTCTATCCATCTGTGTATGCCTCTATCTGTTGGGAACCCTTTTATTATAGACACAAAAGAGAAAACACAAGGAAAGTATAAACATTATATTAATACCAAAAACGAAACGCGACGTCACATTGAGAATTGAGTAGGAAATAGTCTAAAGCTGGGAAAGTACTCAAAGTAATATGACGTCATCGCTTCTCGAGTAAACAATGGTTTAAAAAGCCAATTTTGTCTAATCATAAAAGTAGTTTTCGTGAAGAGTTTCTTTCATGCATGTCTTCGGGTAAGGGTCGGTCGGACCCTGGTAAAAGTATATATTTTCTGTATACGTTGTATTTCGTTGAAGGGGACGTGCTTCGGGGTGAGTGGTGGGGGGGGGGGGAGTGGGGGAGGGTTGCCCCTCAGAGTCGCCTGAAATAATCTCTAACTTCGAATTTTATCAGGTTTGATCTTAGGTGCAAGGTTTATGGGTATGACTACATATATATTTAGTATCATTAGTATCAATGTGCAGTAATCAAGCTTAAATCATATTAAATTGCCGATTCTGGATACAAATCAGTTTTCAATGTCATTTTTCGATTCCGGTTCAATGTGAAGTTGAGGTGATGATTTTGATTTTGGTTTTGGTTTAGAGAAAAGAGACAACAACACTATCAACCTAGCGCCCGTTGTTTCTCCCCCTTAACAGGCAATTTATCTCGTATATTACAAAAATGGAATTGTAGAAATAGAGGTCTGTTGTTTGGAAACTGATATTTCATAGATTTGTTTTGTGCCATGGTGACCCTATCACGCAAATATTGCAGTGCCTAGCTCTTGTGTCAGTTGTAAGTTATGACGGCCACTTAGTGTCATTCTAATTTCATGTTAATTCATTATTTTTTAATGTCATGTCAATGCTATCGAACGCCCCCTCACAAACAATGTATTAACCTGCCGTGTGTAAACTTGAATACTTATACATAATATATCGCCATGCCGTATAATCTTTGCCATGTCACTGACATGTGACATCAAGCACACCATGACACTAATCTCGCTAGCTCTTACTTTGACAAGGCAGGTCTAAACATTAAGTGTCAGTGGTATCCTTAACTAGTTTAATACGAGTGTAAGCAGTAACTACGAAGTTCTAGATCTAGAGATTGTAAAAAAAAGGAACAAAAATATCTTCCATTTTTTTATGTTTTTTGAAATTATTTTAGCAAGATTACTAAATATCTAGTTCTGAGTATAAATGTGTTTCATCTAACACTTTAACAAAACATATTAATGATGCGTATCTTAACTGATAAATTAATTAACATCAGTGGCGTAGCGAGGTCGGGTGTCACCCGATGCGGCACTTAATGGTGTCACCCCCCCCCCCCAGAGGCATAGCGACCCTTCCCGGGGACAAAATTTCAAATTTTCGATTTGCACCCCGCTCAAACTTTCGATTTGCACCCCCCCTAAAACTTTCGATTTGCACACCCCCCCTCAAGCTTTTCTCTATGTATTTTGCTATTTTTTTGCCTTGGTGTCACCCCCCTAAATGGTGTCACCCGGTGCGGTCCGCACCCCTCGCCCCCACTCGCTACGCCCCTGATTGACATTATAACTTTATCCATTTTAATCCAAATCGACCATATTGACTCAACCATAACCTTCCATTTTGTCACCTCCCCTGCTGTCTGTTTTACAGTCTCACAAGACATCCCTGCTGTCTTCAGTTATTCAAGAAGGCTCAGTCGCCAGGTCTGTCTTTGGGGCTCTTTCTTTTGCCTCCCCATGGGGGTTTATCTCAAGCGCCTGCCGTGTCACATTTGAGTGAGCCTTTTACAGTGTGTGTCCCACCCAACGCCACTTCCTCCTTATGTGTACTGTCATGGGATCCTATCTTATACATCGATTAAAAAGTACCTACGTTATAGGATTTTGAGAAACCAGAAGTTAAGTACCACTTCCGTTTACCGGAAATCGCTCAAAACTTGCACCAGAACTTAAAAATTGATATAATACTGATATATACTTATACACACAAGCAGACTCATAGACACACAAACAGATGCACAGATGTTCAGACAAAATCGCAAAAATATTTTTTTTTTTGGTCAAATTATCGATTTTGATTTTAACACGATTACAATACTCTCTATATATTACGTACACAATGAAGTAAAAATACCAATTAACAAACTAATAATATTTTTGTTGTTATTACCTGAGCATTAACTTGTTGAAAATGTAGGGTAAGGGATACAACTCATAAATTAGATACAAAAATCGCAATAAAATCGTATATATTAAAAATTAAAAATCAGTAAGTAATATCCTCTGAATATTATTTATGTGAAAATGTGTACATTTAAGTCTCAAAAGTTATACTTTCTATTATTTATGTTGTTATCATATTTAAAGACATAATTTGGCTCCAATGTAATGTATAAACACATCAGTAGAACTACACATTTAATCGGTAGACCATCTTCAAATACTTTTCAATCGATGTTGCGTTCTTGGTTGAATTTGATTTAATATCACCAAAATTAATTACCAATAACAAAAATAAATAAATAAATAAATAAATAAATAAATAAAAACTTTTAAAAGCGCTGAAAAGAAAATTGAACAAAAAAAAAAACAGCTGCTTTTTCATAAAATTTGTTCATTCATGACATTCTTACCAATTATAGAGACAAAAGCCTTAAACTAAAGCAGTGGTTCCCAAACTTTTTCAAGTGGCGCCCCCTTTTATAAAAAGTTAGTGACCCGCGACCCCCAATAGAATTATAAAGTCAAAATAGGCCAGGAAATTAATAATCAGTTTCAAAAAACGTATTTATTTTCTCCTTTTTGCTATCATCTAAATGAATATATTTCACACATACAAGCAGCAGCGAACACTAACTCACATCTGTTTTTTCATCAACTTGAAAAGCAAATAATGGTGAAAAGCTGGATTTCATTCAAAATATGTTCTTGAACATCTACGGACATGTAAGCCGCTGAATAGTATTATTAGACAGATATTTGTTGCATCTTTACTACACTGGAATCCCCAATAATTAATTTACCATCTTCAACATGCAGGGTTTGATGAGATTTTCTACTAATGTGTGAGAGGTGTTTTTTTTTTTGCTTGGCAATTTCTAATGCGACTTCATATGATGCTTGCACTAATGCTGCGTTTGTGTGTGTGTGTGTGTGTGTGCGTGCGACTGCGTGCGTGCGTGTGTGTGTGTGCGCGTGCCTGCGTGTTCCTGTCCTGCATGTGTGCGTGCGTGTGTGTGTGTGTGTGTGTGTGCCTATGCAAATCAATCGCGCCTTATTTTAGATCAGGTACTAACTCAGGACAGATAACTCCATTATAGAGATCAGAAGCCACTGGACGGATTTTAACGCAAGTATTGTTACTTGTAGCCTCTGTATAATGAAGTCACAAATTATTTAGAACGAATGAGTAAAAAGTGAAAAACAAATCTTGCATTTGAAAAAAATAGGAAAAAGTCAAAAATAAAAATTAAAAATGCACTGAAAAAGATAAAACAACAACATAAATTTTTTTTGCTTGGTGTTACCTTAAAAGAGCTATATGCTGGAACGACTACCAGAGGCGTAGCGAGGGGGGACGACGGGGGCGGGGGGGACATATGTCCCCGGGCGCCGACCTTAGGGGGGGGCGCCAAATTGAAAGTTCGAGGGGGGGTGCACATCGAAAGTTTGTCCCCGGGCGCCGGGAAGGGTCGCTACGCCTCTGACAACTACTAATAGTAATAAAGGCATGGGCACTCAATGATGAAAACTGAACTTAAATCTTATGTCATTCTATAGTGTAAATATATCAATAAACTCACTCTGAAAGGATATAGTTTTATATTGCCCATTATTAAGTTAAAGTAAAAAGTTCTCCATAGACTTCACAAAGCGAATGAAACAGACACAGTAAATATGAGTGTCTCTTAATTTTTATTGTAAAGAAACCGTCATTGTTGTTTAGACAAACAGGTAATGTGTACAATCGGGTTCGTGTTCAGGTAAGTATTGAGATACCTTAATTTGTCGACTGTCAGATTTGTGGCAGGAATTTGATGCCGACCTTACACAGACCTCGTCCCACGTTATAGGGGTACTCGCTGCTTATGACCCGGTTGATGCCCAGGTAAAGGTCATAGTTCACGGGTCCTTTTTCATCCGCCTGTCCGTTTAACGCGAAGTAGTACGGGCTGTAGTAGTAGTTAAAGTAGTTGAGATCTGATAGCCAGACCAGATGACCGTCACCAGCAATGAGGGTCAGTCGAGTGCTGAAAAAGTAAATGGCCTTGAATTAATTAGTTCATCAGTTAAAATAGTATCATAAATATGTTTAATTAATGAGTAAAAATAGAGGAATTAAAACATGTTTGTGTGCTCATTTCTAGATATTTTGTAGTCAAGCAATATGTCTTCAATAAAAGTTTTATTTTAAAAAAAAATTATGGAAGATATATTTGTTACCAAACATTTTAAATCTCTAGAACTTGAACTTCGTAGCTGATGCTTCTATTTGTATTAAAATATTTTAGAACGTGATAAAGATTACATGGCATGGCAAAAATTATGTATATATCTGGGCGTTTACACATGGCATGTTAATATATATTTGTGTGAGGGACATTCGATAATACTGACATGACATAAAATAATGATTGAACATCCTAATTTATAAAAGGCCATGTGCGCTCTTCTCTCTCTCTCTCTCTTTCTCTGTCCGCAAAAAATTTTCGCCGGACATCACGTCAGAATCGGCAGCGATATATCGAGAACTTTTTACGGACTTTTGTTGAAAATAATATGTTAGATGTTTTAAATGTATAACCACAATTTTACTTAAAGAAGAAAAATAAAAATTAAAGGCGTATTCGAATGTAGAGAAACAGTATTATTTATGCAACCGGAAAAGCATTAATACATGTGAAAAAGAACGCATAAAACTGTGACGTCGCTATTGCTTATACATTAACTAATGACGTCATCTGCTGTGTTTTGAATAAAAAGAAATGAACTATTTCATTCAAATTTGATTTAGATCTACGTACACTATGAAATGTATACAATACAGTTTTTCCGGCCTAAACTCATAAAATTTATTTTGTTTATTTGGATTCTAGATCTAGAGATTCTAGATCTAGACTAAATCTAAATCTACGCAATAACTAGATCTATAATCTAGACGTAGACGCTAAGATCTAGATTTAGACTCTAACTTCTCTAAAATCTATTCCAAAAATAAATTTCTATATTAGGACTAAACTATTTCAAGACTTATTTATTTTATACAAAATCTTTGTTATGAACTGGCTAATTTGGGATAAAAAAATAATTTGAAAGAATAGGCATATTCGTGTAAGTTAAGATTTTAAAATACGTGTTTCATTCTCCGTATTTTATAAGGTGCCTAAATAGCGGAGATGTTAGTTTACATTAAACCACGCAGGTGGTGCGGGTTCGAGACACAGCAAGTCAACTTGGTTAATGTATTCTTTTTTATTATGCTCGGGCTAAACTTAAAAAAAAAATTCTTTTAGGAATCTAGATCTAGATCTAGATTCTAGATTGTCGGGTGTCCGATAGGGCACTTCCCGGCGCCGCAGGCGCTTCAAATTTGGCATGATCTTGCCTTGGTGCGACAGAACACGGGGGCCGGTTGGCCGAAAAGTCTACGATGTGGGGGTCAAAACTGACCTCGACTGACCGGTACCTTATATGAGCTATAAATCGAAAAAAAATGTCCACGGAGGAACCTCTTCATAACTCTTGAGGTCGTAGACCGACCTTCGGGCGAATTAATTAAGCATTCAAATTCTCAATGTTTTCGAAAGCCTAAGCGAAGCTGGGCAGCATGCCTAGTGAAATGAGAGTAGTGCTAAGTGGCCGTCATAACGCGCAACTGACACAAAAGCTAGGCACTGCATAATTGACGTGGTATGGTCAGCAAGGCAGAAAACAAATGTAGGACATATCAGTGACAAAAGAGAAGACCTTTATTCCTACAGTTTGATTTTTTTTTAATTTATATATATTTTTTTCTATAATTTTATTTAAAACATTTACAATCGTAATAATATTTTGTATACATTATTTTCTTATATTAAATCATTATTGGAAAATGTATCAATTTTCTTAATTCAGTGTAAAACATTTCAATGTTTCCATTTAAAATATAGTATTCATAGTTTTAAACATTACATTAATCTGGATTTGTTAATAAATTCAATTAGATGAATGATGTAGTTGTATGTTTGTTTATGTTCTTTCGTCTTCATTTATGTAAGAAATTGATTCGTCTGGGTTGAGGATGTAGAGAATTTGATTGTGGCAGAGGTCGTTTTCACGGTGCTGGTCGTTGAGGTGTTTTTCTATGTCATATTTGGTGTATAGACTTGTTAGGCAGTATCCACATTGGAAGAAGGCGGTGCCTGGGTTTTTTACTAAGTGGTGCTTTTTACCCCTCTGCTTTTGATCAGATTGTTACAGTGCGGGCATTTACTCATATCAGGGTGGAAAGCTTTTGTATGAGATTTACACTCGCTGGCAGTACAGAAACTCTGGAAACAGTATCCGCAGCTCATGTCTTCTCCAGGAGTTAAAGGTTTGGAAACTTGAGTTGATGTGGAGGTAGTTTCTTGTTGTAACAGGGTTTGTTTAGTAGTTGGTGGAGTTGTTGCAGTTGTTTCAATTGTTGTTTTGGCCGATTTAGTTTTTCTGTCTTGCAGAGTGGCTGGACTGTCTTCGTTCTTCTTTTATTTCTGTTTCCGTAGCAGTTTGTGGATGTGTGCTGGTGTTTGCTGCTCCGTTGCAAAGTTTGAAGCTTGCGGTGTCAAGCAATGGAGTATATGGTTATTTTTGGGTATATGGTTATTCTTAAGTTGTTTGTTAGAAGTATGGTTTGTATTTTGGGTTCCTTATACTGAATCTTCAAAAGGCTTTGATAAGTGTATCATTATTAATGATAAGTGGGACCCATCGTAGGGTTCCGTCGATTCGGGTCTTCTCGTAATTGGCAAAACTAAGAATGTATTGTCCGTAGGTCTTTGTTGTGTTGCGCGATGACATCAAAGGAATCTGAACTTAAAAACCACGTAATTGAGCAGTAAAATAGTATTTCGCTAATCAGCTGCCTAATGACGTGGCCTTAAAGGTTAGGTAGACCTCTGCTATTGATAGTGACTTGTATCGTGTTGGCGTTGGAAAGATCCGGAACGTCACCCTTAGACAGGTCTAAGGTGACTATTGTTCCTATAAAGGATGGGGCCATGCTTTACATTAAGCTGCTAGTGCCGTAACATTAGATGCTCCTCTCAAAAGCTTTCGTCAGAGGAAACATAAGTTGGTGCAACCTCACTGTAGATGTTGCTTTAAAAATAGTAGGCTTCTGGAAAACTTTACTAAAAGGCGAAAGATTTACTTATTTACTTCATGTATGTTGAAACCAATTATTTTTATCATTTGTTTGTCCCTATTCAGGGATCCAAAATTACGCTTAGGTTTAATAAAAACTAAAATATTTGATTTGATGCAGCTAATAATGACTATTCAAAAATTAATATATAAAGTTTATGTGTTTTATTATTATTTATATATAAAATTAGATAGTTTTTATAATTACAAAACAAACAGTATGACACAATTATTATATAAATGTATCTTATTCCATGAAATGTTATTCGAAGATAGTGCTTTTATCATTTTTAAATTATCACTCATTCCGTTTTGCCAATTTATTCTTAGTTTGCCTCCCTTGGAACATTACATCCCTTGGATTATAAACGTAAACGTTTTATTTCTATTACAATGCATTATTTCTTTAACTTATAAGATTGTATTCTTTACCTCCATTCCTCAAGGTGCGTCATGCATAAAACTGACATAATGAACAAGGTGTTGACATCGAGGCACGAAACAATTATGTTAAATGAATAGTTGTGACATGACAATGACGCACATATACCGTGTGTCATGACATGTCACTGACACATACTGAGCGTATGCCACGGTACTGACCTAAACACGTTTAGCTCATAGAAGGCTTCGTAGAGGTCTGTGTAGTCGTTCTTGTACCCCCTCAGGCTGTCGAAGACACCCACGACCTCGGCGTTGTTCGACTGGTTACCTAGGTCAAAGCCTGCTCGTAGATCAAACCATCAACGCCATTAATTAGAAAACTAATTAGTCATCATAGTCTTACTACTTGGGGTGGTGAGAGGGGGGGGGGGGGGTATTCTGCGTTAAATCTAGCATGAAAATAAGGCACACATCTATTTAAAGTTATTTCAGGACATACATTTTCACACACCCATTATTCATCTACCCCGTCTTTCTTAGATGGCACCTTGTTTTGATTATAAATCTACCAATTCGCTGCAAGAACAACCCTTTTATAAATCCCCATGTTTTTGGTCTAGTCCTATTGTAACATAATTTGAGCCCACGAACAGCCTTTTTTTCCAAATCAAATTATTTTAAGATTACCGTACTTTTATAGGGTCTCCTTTCACACACAACCTCACCGCTTTGGTCTAGTCATATCATCACATCAGAGGCGTAGCGATGGGGGGCAGGGGGGTACATATGTCCCCGGGCGCCGACCTTAGGGGGCGCCAAAATGGGTTGGAAAAACAAATTAAAATGTCATTTTAGCTGCAGTTTTGCATTATAATAGTTTGAGGGAGGGGGAGGGGGGTGCGAATCGAAAATTTGAGGGGGGTGCAAATCAAAAGTTTGAGGGGGGGGGGGGGGTGCAAATTGAAAATTTGCTCCCGAGGGGGCGCCAAATTGAAAGTTTGTCCCCCTGGCGCCGGGAAGGGTCGCTACGCCTCTGCATCACATAGTTTGAGCACGAGAACATCCATTGTCAAATTACATTATTTTAGGACAACTTTAGACTGTCTTTAATAGGTTCTCTTTTCAAAAACAATACACCACCACCCGTTTTTTTTTTTTTTTTTTTGGGGGGGGGGGGTCTAATTGAATTATAATACTAATTTTAGCCCACGAACAGCCCTTTTTTCCAAATCACATAATTTTAAGACAACCTTATTTTATAGGCTCTCCTTTTCACCCCCCCCCCCACACCCCCACTTCGGTCTAATCTTATCATAACACAATTTGAATTCAAGTATTTTTTTTTTGGGGGGGGGGGTATAATTGTATTATAACACCAATATCAGCCCATGAGCATCCCTTTTTCATTTTACATGATTTTAGGACAAACCTATATAGGCCCTCTTTTATAGTCTCTCTTCCTCTTTTTTTTAAAAAAACACTATCCTCGTGTTTTGGTCTAATCGTATCCTAACACCAATTATAGCTCACCACCAACACCTCTTGACGCAACCATGTTCTACTTCGAACCAGTAGCGTAGGCTGGGGGGGGGGGGGGGGGGTTAGAGGGGGTATATATAATTAGTATGAGGTGGGTGCAAATCGAAAGTTTGTTGTCCCCCGGTAAAAATTGCCCCCCCCCCCCCCCCCCCCCCCCCTGAGACGATCCTAGCTACGGCCCTGCCGTCGAACACTTAAAAGAAAATGTCTTTAGACAAATCCAAGCAATCGGAAACCGGCTGATGCTTACGATGACTTACCGTAGCCGTGATTAGAAATGGAATCTCCCAAGTTGAAGAGCCAACCTGCTGATGCTTACGATGACTTACCGTAGCCGTGATTAGAAATGGAATCTCCCAAGTTGAAGAGCCAACCGGCTGAGGCTTACGATGACTTACCGTAGCCCGTGATTAGAAATGGAATCCCCCAA